ACAATATACATTTCCTTCTTGTCAGATATATGAAGTTTGCTGTCATAACTCTTGTCCTTCCATATTTAGGCAATTGTGTTTTCTCCACTACAAGTGTAATGGTGATATTGCCATGACTTATTAATGCAAACAGTGCACCACATGAGGTGAAGTTGAATTGAGGTACTAGGAATGTCTGTCGCTTCTGGTTCTCGCAGGTCACTCTGTTCTTTAGTTTGTAAATGGACATATGAGGCGCATCCCAATGGTAACAAGGGATGGAATGAGGACTACTTCAGACAGATTGGGTTGTCAGACCTGATGGAGGAGAACTGGAAAAAGATTGGTTCAGTGGTAAAGGAGCCAGGCTCCCCCTGTGGCAATGGGCTCAGTGAACAGGCAGCACAAGAACTGGGATTGCAGCGCGGAACTCCTGTGGGAACATCCATAATTGATGCACACGCTGGTGGGCTGGGCATGATTGGCTGCTCAGCAGGCTCTGTGAGCCAGGACTTTCAGACCAGGCTGAGTAAGTTTTGAAGTTGGCAGGCATCAACTTGTAAAGCACTGTATTGTATATACATATTTTGTATATGTAGAAATTTTGCAATGTGTGAAATACCATTGGGCAGCTGTTTATATTGCAGTATATACAAGTTAAATGTTCATGTGCCAAAAATAATTTTTCATATTTCTGTATGCAGTTAAATCATAACGATATATGAGATTATGATAACATGTGTCATTGGAGCTCTGCATGTGCTGGTTGATTTCAGGTATTACTAATTCTGCCAGTAGGTAGATCTGCCCACAGTAGTTTCTCTGTTATAAACTGTTATCGTTTTCATGAAGAGTGGGTATTAAGAATAGCTTATTAAACCTATATATCCCTCCCTGCTTTTGTGACTCTTACACTAGCTGGTGGGAGCACAGGAATCTAAATTTTGCACCATGCCAGATAATTTATTTGTTGATATATATCAGTAGCTGATGGCCGAAATCTGACATGTTAGGCATCATGATAACGCAAAAAGTATCTCAATAAGCTGAACATAGACAATGGAAAAAAAAAAAACTCTGAGGCCTTAAGTCCACACGTGAACTATACCGACTGAGTGACCACCCCTTGTTGGCGAAGCTAGCGCCAACGTTTTGCGGATAGAGGGTGTCGTGTGGTCAGCGCAACAGATTTCCATGGCCGTTAATCTGGTTTTCTAGACTGGAGCTGCAACTTTTCCATTCAGGTAGCTCCTCAGTTATCCTCACAAGGCTGAGTGGACCCCATTCTGGACCCACAACTTGACAGAAAATCCAAATGCCAGGAATCAAACCTGGGACCTCTGGATCTGTAGCCAGGAATTCTGACCAAGAGACCACAGACGCTGTCCAAAATAATGCGAAAGGAAATTTGAAAAATATGAAGAACAGGTTCTCTCAAATACAGCTAGACATTCTTGTATAGAAGCATTCCATGGGGTCTAATATTTGTCAAATGTACGAAGGGTGTTCCATATATAATGCCTCCTATTTTTTTGTGTTAATATGTAACATCTGAGCTGGATGTTGGTGGTGTTGTAGTAAAGGTTAAACCTTCCCGCCAATGTACTGTTAGTTTGGTTGTCGTGTGACAGATAGTGACCACAGAGCAGTCTACCAAAATGGAGTCTGACATAAAAGTGCGTACGAAGCAGATATGTGTTATTGAATTTCTCACTGCCAAACAAATTGCACCCATTGACATCCATCGACACTTACTAAAGGTGTACGGAGATGATACAGTGGATGTCAGCACAGTGAGGTTGTGGGTAGTGCGTTTCAACAGTGGCAAAACTGAAGTGCATGACAAGCCACGCCCTGGGCATCCCTTCTCAGCTGCCACTCCTCACAATGAACAACACCTCGATCAGCTCATCCATTCAGATCGGCGGATAACAACCGGGGAACTGTGTGCACGGCTTAATATTGGCTGTATTGCATTGGAAACAATGTTGGGGTAGTTGGCTTATCGCAAAGTTTGTTCCAGGTGGGTCCCGAGAATGCTTACACAGGACCACAAAACTCATCGAATGGAAGTCTGTCAGGACCTGTTGCATGAGTTTGAGGCTGAAGGTAACAAGTTTCTGGACAGCATCGTCACCAGAGATGAGACGTAGTGTCACCACTACGAGCCGGAATCCAAAAGACAGTCCATGGAGTGGCGACATCTGGATTTCCTAAGGAAAAAGAAGTTCAAGTCACAGCCATCGGCAAGGAAAGTGATGTGCACGGTCTTTTGGGATAGGCAGGGTGTAATTCCGTTGGATTTCCTGGAGCCTAATGAGACTGTCAATTCTGAACACTACAAGATGACGCTAACTAAGCTGAAAGCCCGCATTTCCTGAGTCAGGCCAGAGAAACAGACAACCTTTCGCTTGCAACATGATAACGCTAGACCCCATACCAGTTTGGCGACCATCGCACACATGGCAAAGTTTGGCTGGACTGTCCTGCCACATCCACCTATAGCCCTGATTTAGCACCTTCAGACTTCCATCTCTTTGGGGCTATGAAAGATGGACTACGTGGGCAACATTTTCCAGACAATGATGCTGTCATTGCAGCTGTAAGAAAGTGGCTAGCCTCTGCTGGCACAGACTTTTACGGGCACAGCAAACAGGCTCTTGTTCATGGCTGGCAAAAGTGCATAACAAATGGTGGTGATTATGTGGAAAAATAACTGTAAGTAGCTGAAATCCTGCTCTATTTAACTGCATTATTATGCTTTCTGTATCTGTTGTAGTTTTCATTAAGAAGATAGGAGGCATTATATATGGAACACTCCTCGTATATACACTTGACATTTCACGTTTTAACACTTTCACTGACAGCAGGTCTACTGCTGACTTCATGGCAGCCCATTCGCTTTTGCGGTATACCAGTGAGTTGAAGTGTTTTGTGAAAAGTAAATGGGTAGCAAATGTTCTACATGCATTATGGACTCACATGCACCATCTAGTGACAGAGGAAATAGTTATGTGTTCAGAGTGCATTCGGAAAGAGAAATATTTTGTTTTATTACAGTGGATCAGTTGGTTCGGATATGGTAATTTGGATTAATCACCAGTAGACAACCAGCCTCGAGTTAACTCCATTGCATAGTGTATTTCTTGAAAAATAGTTACTTAGTGGGCCCTAAATTTCTTGCTTTTACAGATTTCCAGATGTTCATTGCTATGTTTATGAAATCAGCAGCTGGGTTCCATTGTGATCCAGTTGAATACTGTGTAGTGACTTGCATCCTGTTTCTCTAAGATGCATTTTAATATTATACTCCCATGGATGCCTTGATCTCCCAAGTGGTCTCTTCATCCACAGTTGACTAAAATTATATATGCTTTTTTCATATCTCTCATATGTGCTGTACTTGTGCTGCCTATCTCATACACACTAATGTTTACAGTTTGTAATTGTACAGAATCTGAATTGCCAGTGCTAATTTTATATGCAAGTTTGCAAGGTGCTGATAGTGTATACAGTTACCAAATAGTGCTAGACTTGAGAAATGAAAATTTGAACAAATTCTGCCAGATATATTGGTTCCATCTTATGTTAGTTTAAAGAATTAGTTACCAGATGGCTGGTTAATGCAGGTAGGATGACATCACGCCTCCCAGCAGGTCAGTATGATAGCCTTGAAGACTTCCATTTTCTCTCTTAGTCCAGAAGCTATAGTCCTGTATGGATGATGTTCAGAAATTTGGAACTGTTTTGTAGGTCTGATTTATGGCACTTCCACATGCCATATGGCTGTGCACAAGGATGCCCTTTTTGTGGAAGGTGTTTGGGGACCATACTACAGTGCCATGGTTCCAGGCTACTGGCTGAATGAAGGTGGTCAGAGTGCCACAGGCAAGCTGATTGATCACATGATAGACTCTCATCCTGCCACTGCGCAACTGAAAGCCAAGATTGGGAAGAGCGTGTAAGCTGGACATTTCATAAAATTCTTGTTTCTGTTCAGTTTGGTAATATTGAAATAGAGGCCATAAAATATTTGGGTTTCTAATGGTGGTAACTAGGAAGAAATATGAAAGTATCATTTTGTGCTTTATCACATTTTTTTAGCACATAGTGTTGAAACACATTGGTGAATAATTCATTGGAAGCAGTCATGGTGTAATCAAGGTATGATCCCAGCATTTGGCTGGAGGGACTGAAAGAAACCACAAAAAAATGTCTATCAGGATAGCCAGTGTCCTGATCGTCCTGACTGACATTTGAACTGAGCATCTCCAAATTGTAAATATAGAATGATGCTGCTACACAAGCCAGCTTGGTCCTCATATCTGTTGATTGACATTTTCACTGAGATAGGTCATCATTGAACAGAGCTTTCTCCGTTTGTTTCTAAGCCTATTGTGCCCTAGCCTTCCCAATTATTTTGACTGTAAAACTTATCTTATGCCTGCACCCACTCCTTGTATTCACTTTTGTACAACTTCCCCTACTTGGTCTTCTCAGTGGTCCTTTATTCATCTTAATTTTTTATGATGTTAAGAGAATTCCAAAATTTGTATATGGCTCAAAAGAAATATGCAGAATTTATTTCTTAATTGTCTGCTTTGTATTTTTTTGGTATTTGGGACCGCATCTAAAATTTTTGTTTGCATTAAGCTTTTTATGTCTGTATCCCAGACCATTAATTCATGCCATTATATTCTGTATAAATGTATGTCAAATGACAATAGAACAGAATGAATACAAAGTTTTTATTAGTGAAACTCTGAAAGTGGCTAATTAATAGAACATGAAAGAGACTGGAGTATTATACTAAAATCAACCTTAGAAATAGATTCTGGTTATTTGAATTAGAGTGAAATAGCTCCAGATTGTGTCTAGTTGTACTGATACACTGTTGAACCTGATTCTGTTACCAAAGAGTTAGTTCTGTATCACATCCTGGACAGGAATTAACCATTGTGATCTATAGTGGGAGGCCACTGTGTACGATTGTTTCTGTTTTGTATAGGCACATTCAACAGTATCTGAACAATGTTCTTGAAAATATGGCCAACAAACGAGGCGTTGCTTCAGTCTCCACGTTAACCAGTGACATTCATGTGTGGCCTGACTTCCATGGAAATCGTTCACCTCTTGCTGATCCGTCACTGTTGGGGATGGTAATATTGTTTCAGTTTATTCCTTATATAATTAAAATTTGGAATTCCTTGCTCACTGAAGGTTTTGATGTCTGGAGTTACTGCTCTCACAGAAAAGGCACTTGATTCAGAAACGTGGTGTTGGATGCATATACTGTTATTAAGAGGTTAAAAATGTAAATCTTAAAATACACAAAACTAGAATTTTGCCTGTTGTTTGGTATGGATGTGAATCATGGTTTCTCACCCCATGAACATAGATTGATGGTGTTTGAGAACAGGACACCGAGGAAAGTGTTTGGAACTAGGAGAGAGGGAATAACAGGAAACTGGAGAAAAGTGCATAGTGAGGAGTTGTGTCATTTTTATTCTTTACCAGATATGATTACGGTGATGAAATTAAGGATGCTTCGATGGACAAGACATACAGCGTACATGAGCTAAAATAATGCATTCAGGACTTCAGTCAGAAAGCATGAAGGGAGGAAATCATTTAAGATACCTAGTCATAGATGGTATTATAATATTAAAATAGGTGTTAAATGAGTGTGAGGGTGTGGACTGGATTTACTTGGACCAGTATAGGGCAGGCATGTTAACACGTCAATCGCAGGATGATTTTTGGTTGATCTTGTAGGCCTATAAGGAAATTATACATGAAAAACATGTAAATTCACTTGTAATATAATATGATTATATTCAGATTTTGAAGGGAAAATATGTGTTAAAGTAGTCTGTACTTTCAGTGTATGTTGCTTTTACAACAAACATCATATGTCATGTTATTTTTACCAATATTTTTGCTTAAAGCGAGGTATGGCAATAGGAAGGGGTGGCAGATCACTGGCAGTTTTGACACTAAAAAGTCAATCACAACCTGTTCGAAGTTGGACATGCCTGGTATAGGGTATGCATACATACATAAGGGGTGGGCCCTTGCACCGTGACCTTCAGTGATCTCTTGTGCATAGATTCTGAAGAAGGAACTGTGTTAGATGAAGTTAGATGCAGCACAATCAGTACAGTGACTAGGTGTGGACTGAATGGCTACGATATGACTCCAGTTAGAGGTGTTTTCAGTGTTCTCTTCACCATCATATCCATTACTGTTTTGTGGTTTAACCAGTCTTCTGTCTGATGGGTACCAAGACCTCACTTCCTATGGATAAAAGTAGCTTGAGCTTGAAGCTCTCTGATTGATTTTCAAGGTTAATATGTTGGGCTTTACTACCCCATCCTCATTCACCATCACACAAGTTTGCGACCAATATGTGAGTGCTACAATTCAGCATGATGGAGGTGAAGAAAGAATGCATGAGTTTCAAATTAAATATATGCATGAACAAGAAGTACCTACCTAGTAGAGTGAGGTTGAAAATCAAAAATATTAAGATACAAAGATGTACATGTATGCCACATTTTGTTTTCTTGCAAAGGTTGTACTATTTCCTTGGCTGATGGGATTCAGCGTTCTGCTCTTCTGCTGGGTGTCAGCTTGTTTTTGATCAGGGGCTGTCACTAGGTAAGGTTAGTATGCCAGGCTGCTTGAAGCACACCACTAACTTCATGTGTGATGGTTGCACTAATCTGATGATTGATCCATGTACATGTCACATTTGCAGTTTGGTAACTGTTGATGTGAGGTTTGACAATAAAATAACCAGATCTTCTGAAAACGGTTGTATTTTGTCACTAACCATTAGTGGCTGTTGTTAGATTGAAAATTCCTCCTGATCTTGCACAAACACACACATCCCAAGATTTCTTCCATGCATATACATAATTTTTTGAAGTCCTTTTGGTACTGAGTCACACTGCTCTGTTTGTAACAGACCAATTTAAGTATTCAGTTTTCAGAAGATGAAAAATTGAATATAGTGGATATATAAACACTGGTATTTATTCTTTTGACCAAATCCTGACTTGCTTAAGGAACTGTGTCAGAAGCACATTTGTCCAGTTAAAGACTGTTGTTTTCATCAGATGCACAACTGTACCAATCCACGATATGAAAGTAGAATGCTTGATTGACTGTTGTTTGCATAAAGGAACAGATTTGGAATAGACAGTTCTTTTGATTTTGAAAACAGACTGCTATGAACAAGTTCTTAATGGTTCTGACAATGTTAACAGTTAGTATGTTGGGTCATATTATTTGAAATCAACCATGTCTCAGAAAGAGGTCCATTTTTTAAACATTGTGTTCAAATGATGGACAAAGTCAGAAAACCAACAATGCTAATAGATTGGTACGGTTTACCATTGAATTTTATCTGTGTGTATGTGTGTTGACCCTAGACTTTTTCATTGGTGATATTAGCATTTTGCTTCTGAGTGATCCTGGAAGACCCAGGCCATGTTAACTGGTTACTTATCTTTTATGCAAAAGATAGATTTTTTCAAAAATACTTGCTGAAAAACCTGAACAGATTTGTTTCTTTCTGTCATGGTTTTCTATTGCCAATGATTTTTCAGTATCATTTTACATACTTCCATGTTCAGATTTTGAGACAGTATCAGTCAGACAATTAATGTATTCACATTCAGTTCATTTGAGAATTTCTGAATAGTCATCTTGCTCACTTCTTCCATGTTTTAATTAGTCCTTGAAGTTCTTGGATGGCCATCATCTTTAACTTCATGAAATCTTGTAACCTGTAAAAAGAACCTGTGCTTCATTGTTTCATATTCATAAACTTGCAACATTTTAAATGCCAGTGGCATTTTTTGCTAATTTTACAGACAATTTCATGCTGATTTAATGTGTTAAAAATGTGCTAAAATATAACATTATTAACAGTGTTAAAAATTGATCGCCCAATTTTTGACAGAGGAACTGAACAATTTTTTAATAAAGCCTTTGTAGCTGCTGCAAAGAAGTTATAAATCCACATGATATTAATACATCTCAAGCAGTCGTGTGTTCTAATGTATACTGCCTGCTGCTGCCCTATTAGACAGGAAATCATTCTGGTTACTTCATTGTCATTACCTCATTTTGTGGCTTCATTTTAACCATTTCTCTGTTATTCATTCCATTGACCTGATGAGGCACTTTATGCTTGGTCTTCCAGAGTCTGAGTTGGCTAATATGTAGAGGCTGATTTCCTCTTGCATGTAATTGATACATATTCTAATAGATGACACAAATATGCAGAATATTTTGATTTTCAGGATCATCATCTTCTGCTCCACCTCCTCCTCTTGGTGAAAAGGTCTCTCTTGTAAGTGTTGGTCTTTTGGAGATTCTTGCATGGCCTGTAGTGTGAGTCTCGACAGTAAGATGACTTCACTGTGTGTGTATTGTGTGTTATTGTATTTACATAGAATATACAGATGTTCACTGTAAATATTTTAATTACTATCCCCCATTGATATTTTACTTTCACTTTAGAATATATCCAAGATAATCAGAAAGATGTGGAATTAGATGAACCACCTGCTCTGTGCTGATAATATGTCCTAGATGAAAAAATATACATGAAAAGGGGGGAAAAAAAACAGAAAAGTCTCACACATTTTCAGTCAGATTCCTCGCTACTCATAAAGCATACATTTCTGTTGCAGACTTCTGGTAATACAAATTTTGTAATATTTGAGGTTTTCACGGCGGTGACTATGAAGAAAACAGTCTTCTGGGATGAGGCACCATGTAGATGTGATGTTAACCGATGTTTCGGAGGAACGTATTGCCTCCATCTTCAGGGTAGAAGGAAAAATAAGAACACCCGCAAGCGAAGAAAGAGTGAGAACATCAGTCCAGTCTGATGGCATCGGTTCTCACTGTCTCTTCGCTTGCGGATTTTCATATTTTTCCTTCTACCCTTAAGATGGAGGCGATACGTTCCTCCGAAACATCGGTTAACACCACATATACACGGTACCACATCCCAGAAGACTGCTTTCTTAATACAAATTTTGTTAAATTTTGTGTTTCATAAATTCATCAGAATTTGGCACCTTTGCAAGTTCGTAATTTTTGACTGATGATCAGTACTTCATGCAGAATTTGTAGGGATGTGTGCTCTCTGTCCTTGTACCAAGTTTCATATACATAACTCCATTGCTTCATTAGATGTCACCATCAAACTAAATGCAAAGTGCAGATTTCATGCTGGAGCAGTTTTATTACGTCTTCTACAAACGAAAGTTAACTTGAAGAAAATTTAAATACTTTGCACAGATTTGAATTTCAGTACCTTATACTCATATTATTTGGTAATAGTGTCCCTCCCACCTTGCAACTTCATGAGCTATTCTTAACACTTGCAGGAAAGTACAAAGTATGAGGCTAGGATGGTTTCTAGCAGCATAATGCCCATGCCATGTTTTGTGAACATTTTATCAAATGGTTCAAAAGTTAAATTGAGGACATACAGGTAGCACAGTGTTCTTGTAAGCTTGCTTCCTTCCCTTAAGAAAGGAAAGTAGGCTGGGAATGTGGTTTTACATTCACATTGCAGCTGTGAGTTCACATATGGTGTTTTCCATATGTTGGGTTGAAATGAATGTTTTCAGAACAGTAAAATTTCACACACTCTGCTATACAGCATAGTGCACACTAAGTCATTAATCAGACTGATGGGATTTTGTCTGTTTTTTCCTTAAAGATACTGCTTCCTTGGTTTTTTCCTGGCTTTCATTATGTATGCTCTTTTTAATCACCTAAGCTAAAGAAAATTTGGTAATACAGATTGTATATAACAAATTCAAATCCAGTGACTGGCTTTTCTTTTGGAGCTGTTGAACCTTCATGAAGTCTAATACCAGAGAATGAATAAGAGAGGAAAGTGAATGCTAGCTTCTAGGCTTTCTTGCTATATTATTATCGTGGAGCTGGGAGAGCTCGGCCTGTATAGTGGCTGGGCCCGAGGTTGGATCACAAAGAAATCAAGGCTCAATTTCAGGCAAGGGCAGAGATTCTTCTCTTCTTCACAGCATTCACACTGGCTCTGGGGCCTACTAAACCTTCTATCTAATGGATGCTTGGTAACCAAGGCATGAACCTGAGTACTCACTTCTTTGTTGTTCCACGATTAAGAATTTGTTGACCTCTACCTCTACTGCCTGATATATATTGGGTGTCCGGATGAAAGGTGTCCAAAATAAAAAATTTATATCTTGGAAAGTAATTGTCATACACGTATCCAGTTTATGTCATCGGAAAGGAACACCCTGTAAGTTTTTCTTTTCCATACCCGGCTTATGTGTATGCACCGCCACATTTCTGCCACCATGTTAGGAATCACTTGGACAGAGTGATAGCTGGGAGATAGATCGGCAGAAGTGGACCAATTGCTTGGCCTCCTAGGTCGCCAGATTTAACCCAACTGAATTTTTTCTTGTGAAGAACATTGTGTACCAGGTTAAGATCAATGACCTGCAACACTTGAAAGCCTGCATAAGGGATGCTGTGGCTATAGTAACACCAAACATGCTGGATCGTCTGGATATTTGTCGTGGCACCAAGAGAGCCCACGTTGAAATTTATTGAGGAAGTAACTTTGATAGTTTCCCTTTGTAGTGGTGTAACCCATAAATGTGTATAATAAAAGCTTACTAAAATATCATTATTTTATTTTGGGTACCTTTCATCCAGACACACTGTATTTGTAGCACGGTTATTAAGTACATAAAGATACAACTTTTACACTACATTATTGTTCAAAAGGTTTGAATGTGGTTGCTGTCATGGTATAAGGTGGGAGGAGAAACTAAATAAAACAAAAAGTATTAGTGTAATGAAAGCAGTCACTGAAAGTCTTGTCTATACCATATTTGCTGCATACAGATATTGTTAAACACATTCATGTGACAGTGGATTGACCATTGGCATAAGTACAAAAACAAAATATTAGTATCACTTTTAGAGTTTCTTAATATTTTTTGTGAATTTGTTCAGATCTCTGGGTTGACATTGGCGGCAGATGAAGAGAACCTGGCACTCATCTATCTAGCAACTATTCAAGCTCTGGCTGTAAGTTCTACTTAGGTTATATGATATCAAATTGCAGATTCATTGTAAATGATGAATTGGAGGAATGTTGATGAAAACAGCCATTGCCTTCTTTACTGCACTGCCCAGCACATGTCTCTGTTACATTTAGTGTGGAGGAAATGTCACTCAGAAATTAAGTTATATTTTGTTTTGAATTTGATTTGTTTCTTGATGTATTTGATGGTTGCAATTGAGTCAGTTATAAACCTTTTAATGAAGTGGCATTATTGCTTGACAGTATTATTAGTCATCTTCATGGTTAGGCTATTTAGTTTATGGCTGCAGGTATAATCTTGGGGTTCTGTTTTAGAAATGTAAGTACAGTAGAGTCCCCATTATCTGACATTTATGAGGAGTGTGATCTTTTGATTACATGAACTTGCCTGTTGTGTGAGGAAAACTCTTATAGAGACCCACTATGAAGTCCAAACATTACTCTAGTTCTTATGTGGGAGTCTTAGGTGACACAGCAGATTGATGGATGTAACATTTTTGATTCCTACACCATAACACTAAATGGCCTATTGTACCAGCCCAGTACAGTAGATGATGATTGTGGGGCAGTCAGTGGAATGAGAATTGGCAGGGGAAACTGAAGTACTTGAAGAAAACCTGCCCCAGTGCCACTTTACCCACCACAAATCCCACATGACCTGACCTGGGCTCAAACCCAGGCCACCGCGGTAGGAACCTGGTGACTAACCACCTGAGCTGTGGCACAACCCATATGAAAACACTGGCTAATGCTTGTACCTTCTTAGCCTTTCATTTAGTATCAAAGCATCAACAAGTTTTTAATGTTTCAGTATGGCACACTCCACATTATAGATGTGCTGCACGCAGCAAACCACTCTAACATCCAGTCGTTGCTGATGTGTGGGGGGCTTAGCCGCAACCCACTGTTTGTTCAAACTCAGGCTGATGTGGCAAAGCTTCCAGTTCTGTGTCCCCAGGAGAGTGAATCAGTTCTTGTTGGAGCAGCAATCCTTGGGGCATGTGCCGCAGGGGAATTTCCAGATGTGCAGACAGCAATAATGGCAATGGGAGGTTCTGCTGACATTGTCATTCCCAGGGACAAGGAGCACAGGTATTTACACACTGTTTCACTGCTCCTGAAATGGTGTTTTGGTTATGGACAGTGGTTATATGTTAGAAGGGATATTGAAGGGTATCCCAAAGATGGATCAACCTATCTTATTCACAGCAGTAGCATTAGGTGCATATAATGTCCCATCAAACTTAGTATAGCAAGATGCTGAAAAGTACTTTACAGTACAAAAATTATTCTTGGACCATTCATTCCAAGTTTTGCTTACAGCACAGTTTTTTTTTATGTTTTCACAGATTAAAATTCATGATATGAGAAAGTTCAGGGTTCTATAAAAGGAAATTTTCTTATTTATGATTTTATAATGTCACAGTGGGACTTGAGCCACTGGATTCAGGAAAGGCAGATTTAACTCTGTTTATTGCATCAGAATCCACGTGAGTAAACATAAAACTTTTGCCTCAAGTTGATGTTACAATTAAAGTAGAAAATACAAAAATAAGATAAAAGATAAATATAAAGTGGTGAAAAATGTGTTTTCTGGCCAAATGAACATGGGAGGGGGAGTAAGATTTTGTGGCAAAGGGACCAACTTTTATAGCAATAAGATAACCACCCCTGTTTAATGCATTGTCAGTATTTGTGACTACAGTAAACTGATTTGTATTTATACTTTCTTCTTTATAGATATCATCAAAAGAAATACAGAGTGTTCCTGAAGATGGCAGAACATCAAAGAGAGTACAGGGCCATAATGTCCCATGAATAGAGGCCTACATCCTACTGTTATGGTTACATTTTTACACAAAGCTTTTGTTCATGGTACAACTTGAAGATATGATTTATATCATAACTGCATTTTATACTCAACAAGGTAAACACATACAAGAATTTGAAAAAATAATTGAAACGCTACAGATACTATATACATTTCTTTATTAATATGGTGTTGGAGGACTAGGACCAACTTTTGCCTTCAGTACAGCTGCAGTCCTCCTTGGAAAGGGCTCGTACAGGCTTTGAACAGTCTTTAGCAGAGCTTCATACCATTCTTCTTGAAGAACATCTTCAAGTTGCTTTAGAGATGTTTGAGGTGTGAATCTGTACCTCACTCTAGTCTCCAAAACTGACGAGAGTGGTTCAGTGGTGTTCATATCTGGTGATTGTGCTGCCCAGGGAAGATGCTGAAGTTCACCTTCATGCTCTTAAAATGTGTCCAAGTACTCCCTTGCAGTAATTCAGCCATGAACGGTAATAATGGGACCAACAGAGTACTGTACCACGATACTGCTGCCTAAACCATCACATAACCTCCCCTGTGTTTTACTGTTGGAACCAAACATTCTGAATTGTAGGCTTCCTTGGGTGTTCTCCTGATGTAGGGAACAGCATGAAGGACAAATCATCCAACCATATTACACTCATTTCCAGTTGTCTGATGTCCAGGTTATATGGCCATAAACCCATCATTTATGCATGTGAGGATTACTTTCAGTGATCAGAGGTTTGGCATTTGCAGACCTACCATGGATGTTGGATCTCTGAAGACATCAGAGTCTTTGAGATGTACATTCAGTTCTGATGTCATCTGTGCTGCAGTAGTTCTGTGATTTTTCAAAACAGTCCTCAGTGTATGACAGTCTGTTCCTCTTCACTGATGTTGTCTTCCCATGATTCGTGTATGCTGACATAACCTTAGAAACTGAGGCTCTCAGTACAGCTAATGATTTCGTTTTTGTCACAGATGCTCCAGCTGAACATGCACGAATGGTGTGTCCACTTCCAAGCTGAACGAGTCTGCCATTTTCCGATTCTTTCACATGAACTGTCAGTCAGCACTACCACTAATGCATTTACACGAGCACTACAGAGTGTAAACAAGTGGAAGAATGTTCTTTGTTGTCAACTGAAGTTCCTTCAGTGTAGCCAACGCGAATTCTGTTCCACAATTTCTTAGTTTTTCCATTATTTTTTCCATCTCTTGTGTATGTTACTTATTGTCTTAAGGTTATAATCTTGTTACTTTTTATTTTCTCTGAAATCCATTCGCCAGAGTTCATGCAGGTGTTCAAGTAAGAACATTCCTCTTTTAGAATCTCCTATCAAAATGAATACTCTGTTTTTAATTTATGTTTGAATTTTTTTTATTGCTAGTGGGGTGGGACTAAGTTCCTTGTACTGCGGCCCCTTCTGGCCTACTGTACCAGCCCCAGATGATAGGTGAGAGTGATTGTGGAGCAGTTGGTGGAATGAAGATTGGCAGGGGAAACCAAAGTACTCGGAGAAAACCTGCCCCAGCGCCACTTTGTCCACCACAAATCTCACTTGACAAGACCCCGGATCGAACCTGGGCCGCCGCGTTGGAAAGCCAGTGACTAACCGCTTCAGCTATGGCGCAGCTTTATGTTTGAAATAAGAAAATATTATTGTTATGATGTTTTCCTATGTGGAAGAATAGTCTGAAACTGGAGAAAATCCAGTCAAAGTAATGAAGTCTTAACCTTAACTTTAACCCTTCTTCCTCATGTTCCTTCCAGTTTTTCATCCTCATCCTTCCTTCTGCTCCTTTTTCTCCTTTCCCTGTCAGGTTCACCTAAACTCTCCCCAACAGGACATAGCCATCCCAACCTGTTTATATTGAACACTTTGCAGCTTTCAATTTCATTCCATCAGTAATATTGTGGTGCGTACAAAAACTTCTGATGTTGCAGTGACACTAGCATCATAAAATGTAAAATTCTAAAATATACAGTAATGCATTGAAAGATATCCCAATGTCTGTTAGAGTTTTGTAAGGTGTAAACAACATTTAGATTTCAATTTCATGGCAATAACTAATAAACCATTGGTGCCAAGTATGTGAAATTGTATATGGATATACATCATAAATATACCTGCAACTTCTGTGTGGAATATGGTTAAAACGTTAAGTTACAGCTACAGTAACAGTTTAAATGTTTCAATTATATTTAATCTGCATTGAATTTGTGCAACAGGAATTGCTACAGAAACTGACTGTTAAATTGTTTAATTCATATATGAGACCTGCTATCATTACTATCCAGACTGAAGCATTTAAAGGAAAGTTAACTTCATAAGTTCATCATAGAACATCTGACATATGTGAGATACTGACCATCAAATACTGAAATGAACTTCATGGTGCAACCTGCGCATCTTCTGGGCGGGTGTCACGTATGGGGGTACGCATGATGAATAATTGTGGATTCTAGATTTGATAATTAGGTTTATTTGACATCACTATTACAGTTGCACTCAGTTATACCAGTTAACACACACTCTGCGTTCTCTTGTATTCTGGTTCTTCTGACTTCACTTAGTTCTGAACTGATGGCTTCTCAACGGGCCTCCTTTTATCCCTGCTAGGTGGTTGGGATAGGAATCACTACCTAGAAGAGTTCTGTTTTTCATATCCATGGTAACAGTCCGTTTAGAATGTCGTTACCATGTATGTCTCCAATAGGTACAGAAAAACCCAGAGTAACAGTGTATTTCGCATTACCATGGGAATGCGCCCTACCAAGCCCTTACCGCAGTTAGCCAGGGAGTGCTCTTGATGCATGATTTCTCAACACGAATGTGGTTCAAAGGTTGAGCCATGATTACAGTATCGCCTTGCGTTTTACTTATTGCATAGCAAGTTGGGTTCAGTGCTGTCATACAGGAGATGGTATTATTTTTGCTACTGTTATTAGATAAGTTACTTTACATAAACTGAATGACATAAGTAGTGGTGAGTCCAAGTGACTGCATGGTACAGAAATCAGTGCATTTTACATTTTGGTTTTTGTTTGTAACATTAAGATGTAATACAAGAGATGATACAAGGGAACTCTGCATTGTTCTGCATTGTATGTTCAGTTGATTATATATGGGATGGGATCGAGTTGGTATGAGAAGTGAGATTACAGGCATGGCTCCCAGTTACTTAGATACCTACTATGGGGACACTCATTGCCCTCAGACAGGAGGATGGTTACAGATTAATGCGATTAGGGTTATAAAGTGTGAAACCCCGCAACTGTGTGATAATTAATTGTAGCCGTTATTTGTAGATTGTTAAATAAACCAATTAACCATCTCTACGGCGTCTTCAGTAACAAAACACGTTACAATACCATATATTATAGTCTTCCAGTGCCTCCCATCTTGAAGCCCAGAAAAACAAGGCAAGGAAGTATACATTCTCAGGGTCCCCCTCACCCCCAACAAACCATCTGATTGGAAGCTGTGCTCTTTAAGTTTCAGCTTTTCTGACAAAGCAGACCTGGCTATCAGCAGTCCACTTTCCATCCAAAGAGTAAAAATCAGCGTTTATCACAGCCTGGGAGTACTGCCTCCCAAATATCTCCCAACCCAACAATTTAACGCAGTCCAAAATGAGCCTTATAATAGTGCACTGCTCCATCACTGTTCAACACAGATGGGTGGGAAGACATCCTGGAGGTCCATAGAAACTTTGAAAAGGACAGATTCATCCAGCAAGGTCTCCCCAAGTCAACCTGTCTAATGTGTTCATCCCTCTAGAATATTATTATGAACTGTAAATAACCAACTATCATGGCCCATGGTCTTGAGTAGCTGATAGTTCTTTAGCTAGTTTAGAAATTTCCTGTTCTAGAGCCAAAGGTTGATCACGATGATGAGTGCCCTCTATCATAAGCCAGGCCAGTCCATTTCACATCTTCACTTGTTTTTCTGTGTAATACTATTGCTGTTCCACCTAGATCTTCCACGCTGTCTCTTCCCAGGTTTACAAACCAAGTTTATATATACATGATATATTTTGTACATGTGTATTACATATTCAACCCTTCTCATCTTCCTTGACATAACCATTCTAACAAAAGGAGCTGAAAGCAGAAACTATGAAGTTCTTTGTGTGATTGTGTCTATTCTCCAGTTATGTCACCTTTGCTTCAATTCAAATATTCTCCTCAGCATCTTGTTCTTAAACATCCCAAGTTTCTATTCTTCCTTCAGCATAAAATTCGCTTAATGGGGGGTGGAGTTCAACTGGGTCCACTCGGCATAGTGGCCACTGATTGGCCTATTGTAGCCTGCCCCAGGTGATTATGATGGAGAATTTAGTGGAATGAAGATTGGCAGGGGAAACTGAAGTACTCTGAGAAAACCTGCCCCAGCACCAGTTTGTCCACCACAAATCCCACTTGACCAGACCCGGGATCGAAGCCGGGCCACCACAGTTGGAAGCGACTAACCGCTTGAGCTATGGCGCGGCCTTTTCCTTCAGCATAAGTCTCACATCCATAAGAGGTAAAATTAATTTTATAAACATATTTTTATTTTTACGTAAGTTCTACAAAGGACACTTAAAAAATATCAAAGATTTAAAAATGAATGGCAGTAAGCACATAACACAAATACCATCCAAATCTCTTATTGTTGTTTCTGAATTCCAGATGGTGCAACATTTTTTTTTTAAATTTATCAGCAATTCTTATATTCTCATTACAATATTATGGCCCCTTTTTATATGTAATATGAAATTCCACACAGCCAGATCAGTTTCAGTATTCTCACAAATAGTGGCAAAATTTCATAAGTTTGCTTTGTTACATGCATGCACATACACACACACACACACACACGTGTAACTGAAAGGTGTGGGCAAACGCTGGACACAAGTTCTATATACTAAAACAAGAAAAAATGTCCACACCATGTATCTGGAAATATTTAATTTGTGAGTACAAATAATAAGCGCTCAAAATGTCCATGAGATTCAATGCATGTCTTGACATGTCTCATCATGAACTACTGCATCTGTTCAAAGATGCTGGGGTAGTTGCAGACAGTCTAACAGGCAACCACAATGCAATGGTGAAGTGCCTCTTCATTTTCAACAGGAGCTGTGTACACAAGGGATTTCATGCATCTCCACAGGTAAAATTCCAAAACGATTCAAATTTGGCAAGCATGGAGGCCATGCAGTGGGTCCTCCTCTACATATCCATCGGTCATGATAGGTGTTATTGAGAAAATCTCACACAGCACAGCTAAAATGTGCCAGAGCACCATGATGCATGTACCACATTCGTGCTCTTTCTGCCAGTGGTTCATGTTCCAGTAGCTCTGGCAGACCACGTAAAAGGAAATCTCAGTATTGGTTGCTTGTAAGCTCATGTGAAACATTTGAACCACAAGTCCCAGCCCAAATATTAATGCTGAACTGCTGCTGGTCTCTAGAATGGATTACACCATGATGATTCTCCTCTACCCACTGGTGTTCGTTGTGAATATTGATGATGCAAAGGTGAATGTAGAAACATATTATTACCTGATGATGGCCAGAGAGGCCAAAACATATTGCAATGTATTATATAGTATACTTATACACATAAAGTGTACTGAAATAAACAAATAATGATCCCATCTGTACCCAAATGTGCCTCATCTGTAAAGAGCACTGATGAAACAAAGAAATACTCAGCACTTCGTTGAACAAAACAAAAGTTCCCTCATGCTGGAAAATCAGCTGTAACTCACAAATTAAATGTTGCTATAGAAATGTCTTGTTTTGGAATGTAGACCTTGTGCCCAAAGTTTGTCCACACCTTTTAGTGACACCCTCTGTGTTTAGGCGCACGTGTACATGCATGCATGCATGCATGCACAATATATACAGCCTTAGGAAACCTTTTATGTTTTGCTGCATGAGCGGTTCACCTACCTAATTAATCATGATTATTATTTAAGCTAGCTTTTTCATGTTTTTTAAAAATTACTGTGACCAAAGTTCTTTGAGTGCTTCAGCAGATAAGAATCTGTTCTTTCATTTGTGGGGCCTATTCCTTGTGCTTCATTTGCATGTAGTCGAGAAGCCTAGCAGCTTGAATGTGACTGGTTTTGTATTGGCTGTATGGTCTTGTCAGATATATTGTGTCAAAACAAACTGGACAGTAAGTCAGTACTGCAAATGCTTGGAAAGATATTGTATACAGTGCAGTGTTAAGTTCTTTATCTCTGGAATGTTTGAAACTAGTGAAAATCCATATGTTTGCTTCTTTTTTGAGTTCACATATTTTGACCCTAAGAGGAACAAAGTGGACAATTTGTGATATAACATAAAAAGGAACTTCATGATGTTCATATCACTTGGTATAATTAAGGCAGCAAAACCACAGAGATGACTGTGTACACAGCTCAGATGTGGAAGGAAAGAAATGGATGCAGAAATTTGGTGGGAACCTTCTTACAAAGTGATCATCTGTAAGCCCAGGAATGAGATGAAAGGAAATAGTCATGTGAACCTTAGTGAAATATGTTTTGAGGATGGGAAATGGATGTACCTGGCTCAAGGTTGTGTTGAACCTGTAAGTTCAGCAGCTGGGTATTAAAGGCTGACCTATCCAATATTCAACATAATAATTATGGATAGTTGTGAAGAAAGGTGACTATGACAGATGAAAGTAAAACCAAATACTACGTTCTTCATTCTTATATTTCTAATCTCAACAGTGATAAATATTCTATTATACATATACATATAACAGTAATTTCAGATGTCAAGATAACACACACAGTGTTCTGTGTACCTCTTCAGGTTTACTGCCTGCCATTTCCTTAGCTCGGTGGTACAAGTATGTGTTCTCATACTCCTTTATGAGTCTCTCTGGCAATGGCTTATTCCAGTCAGCTGGAGGTTCCAACCTTTTCTTCCATACATCATTGTTATAGTGACCCTCTAATCGTTTTAATCGACGATTTTTCTCACTCTGTACCAGTTCTTTCTGTAATATTGAAAGAGATTAGAATTAAATGTACTGTTGATGAGAAATCATTGTACTGTTTGTTGGAATTTATAGTTATCATTGGTGAAAGGCCACAAACAGTTTGTACTCTCAACAGACTGCATCCTTTTCTGTCTCTGGAACCTGTGTTAAGCTGCAGGTTCCTCTTACCAATCCAATTAAAAAATAAAAAACCAAAAGGAGGAAATATACCCAATATTAACATAAAAATGAGAGTATTTTTAAATGTATCATCTACATTTGAACACAGAAAAAATATATCCAACTTGATTTTGAAGGAAATGTATAAAATATTAATATCAAGAAATTAAAATTATTTTTTAAATAAGGTACCATTTATGCTTTAATACAGAGATCCACAAATAGATGTTTTTCAACATCTTAAATGTGAGTTGTAAATTTTCTCCCTCCCCACCCCCTCAAAATCCTAGCCATTGTAGCTGGGTCTACTCTATGCCCATTAACCATTAAGTCATAACAAATTAAGAAATGGCAACATTAGTGCTTTGCATTCTTTCCACATGCATTTACTCAGCCGAAAGCTGTATCGTCATTTTGATTACAGGGCATGCAAAACTGAATTCCATTATAAGTAGCCAGTTTATTTTTACCAAAGCATTAGAATTATGTTCATCTCTCCACCGAACACAGCTGTTAAAATCTCTTTTCCACTGTGAGCAGTCAATAGTTTCACCATATATGAAGTACTGATGAAAACGAGCCTTTATACTTGTGCAGTCACTATATTCCTCATTATACATTTCACATGGTCGAATCTGAAATACAAAAGCAAATACACAAATAGACAAATTCTCGCTGTTCCCACAAATAAATAAAACTGTCTCTCTTAGAGTTAACAATACCATTCTGCTACTAACAGCATCCCCACCACGGCCAAATCTCTTTCTCTCTCCTTCTAGCATTATGTCTGTATCTACCACATGGCTGAACCACTTGATCTGGGTCATTCCATAGGTTTCTCTCCATTAAGTTTTATTTCTTACACCCTTCTTAGTATCCTTGTTTTATCCACTCTCACTAGCATGAAATATTCCAGTTTCCTACCTTCCTTTCTGTAAAACATGTGTCTGCAACTAAAAGTCTACATACCAAATAACTGATCCCATGAAATCTGTTACGTAATGACAATGAAAACATTTCATTGTTTATCATCATCAGTATGCTACTGTCTAAACTTGAGACAGGAGGAAAAGTAGAACTATTCAACGGGTGATTCCTGATAAGGGTGGTCATACGTATTTGAAAACACGAATTTCATACAATCACTTCAACACAGAACACACAGGGTAACTGCGAAATTTATATGCATGTTACCAATTGGCGGCAGTGATAAACAAAGGTAACTGGGTACGTAAAATTCTGCATGCTTATTAAATGTAAACGCAAGATGAAATAAGTGCTGCGAATTATACACATGCTTCCACGACAGCGTTGAGGTTATGCCCGTAAATCGTCATACATCTCCTAATTCGAGGGGTGGGCAATAAAATAAACATGGAATGACTATATGACAAGCCAAATATTTTAACGAAATACAGACAGAACTTGCGTCGACAAAAATTCTGAGCTGTAGAGAGAACGGGTATACACCACTAAAAGAATGCACACCTCCAAATTAATAACGTACATAAAAAATTCAAGACGGCTGAAAATATCACTAGAAATGATCAGGTGAACAAACGGCTTAACTCACTGCATATCTGAAGAGCCACGAAATATAACCAGTTCCATCAGAACTTAACATCTTGTGAAAACAAAGTTTATATTTCTACTTAAAAAGCTTCATCTTAATATTAATATTTATCAACACTCGACTACATAAGGCAACGTTACCATCCATTTATCTTCAGATTCTGCAGCCGAACTTGACATTTTGAAGAATTCTAAAATATAACCCAGGCCCCTACGTTCGACTGGACCCCGCTTTCAAATTAAAGCCTTCAACTTTATATATACCATATATACAACAGACCGCATTTGATGCCACAGATCACAACTAACCTACACACAGACACACTCAACCCACGGATACGCCCATTCCGCGGATATGCCTCTGTTGATAACCCGTGCCTGTTATAATGTTGACGATGTTGACAGTGTTGACCTGCATTTGGGACTGTATAACATATTACTTTAACAATGTACATTTATGAATTAGCGTTCAGTAGAAGGCCATATAACAATAAAAATTGACTGCACTTGACCAGCTCAGCATGGTGCACTATATTTGAAAAAATACGGAGCAATAAGTTCGTATGGCAACAGGCGTGACCATTGTGGTTTGAAGGACTGTTGTACTGCGATGTGGAAAGCAAATGGAAAAACTACCACATTATCACTTTTCCTGGTTAGTCTCTTTCCAAAAACAGAGATACCATGTATGGGACCAGAAGACGAGGAAAAAGATGTAAGGAGATGCTGGATGACTTTAGGGACAGAAGAGTATATTTTATTTGAAGGAGAAAGCTCTAGATCGCTTTAAGTGGAGGAACTGTTTTGGAAGAGACTGAGGATCTGTCATATGACAGATTACTAATGAATGAATGAAACTTAACTCTATGTAGCAACATTAGGTATCACGCAGCGTGGCTTACTTATGACGTCTACCACCAGGGTTCATACCGATAAGTTAGATTTCATCTATCACATAGGACTCCTCCGACGATTTGGGAATGTTGCCAATCAAAAGTGCGGAGTAACTGGATATGTATCGGCAGGTGCCACGCTAGTCCGAAGCTGTTGAAGTTTGTACTACGGGGGTTCAAACGCAATTTTTAGCCTACGCTCGCTCTCTCTTATTCCCTCCGCCACCACACACAAAAATGCCCTTGTTCCATGTCTGCTTGTCCGCACATGAGAACTCGAGAACCGCTTAATGAGTCTTCATGAAATCTGATGCTGCGGAGTCCTGCTTACATTTGTCATTAAACTCCAATTTCGAGTAACACCCCATAACATTATACATGACGACCTATCTGCGTTTCTGTGCGAACCTCGATCTCAACTCGCTGAATAATTAGGGAGCGTTATTGTTCGATTACAGAAGAAACGCTGGTCGTATTGGGTGGTACTGAGCAGATATCTATCATTCTGAGATCCGTTGGTGTGATAAAAGAGTATCTCTTCGGACTTACTGCCATTAAAATATAATTGCGACTTAGTCGATGGTTTCTATTTTGGAAGATTTCGATTACTGAAAACTTTACCGATATTCAGAATAATTGTTGACCTACAGTCCGTAACCACTGATGGTTTTGAGGGCAGTCCTTTTCCGTTCATTACTTCTCCGGAGTTCAACTGTCCAGTTACTGCACTGTTGTCTCCCCCACCCCCGGCCAATATCTTGTCGCTGCATTCTACTGAATATCCTAAATATTGTATTTATCTTGTACTCGTTACTTCACGCCTGCTGTGCTGTGACCTCAACTGGACTATCTCCTCCCTTGAAGTTTTGGGACAACTTTTTATGTGCATGTCGGACTTTCAGATATTCTCGCGCCTGCACGGACGACCCAAAAAATTAGTCAAGTTTAAAATATTTCGGATTTCTCAGATGGTTCAAGAATTTCTTATATTATAAAGATATTTTTTTTTGCAGAAAATTTATTTACTTGGTATATTTTCAAAACATCAAATTGTTTTATTTCATGTAATTGACTTCCAGTATCAGCAATTTTTCGAAAATATTCAGTAATTCAAAACTTTTTACGCTTTTGAATGTCGAAAATTCCACAAAATCTCGAATTCATCGAAAACTTCTAAGTCACTGTGTGACCAATTAGAATAGTCCTGTCAGCACGAAAAACATAGTGCACACCAGGAAACACGCTGTGGCTGCAAAATGAATCCTTCAGCCGGGTCTTAGTACGGAACATAGTTCTGTACTCCTGAGCATAGGCGTTGCCCTAAGAATTGGAACATTTAGCACGAAGACCCCTAACATTCCGATAAAAAAATATCAATATGATCACAAGTAATTTTACCGGACCTGGAGAGGAACTAAATTTGCAGCAAAAACGAAAGAAGAATTTCAACCGCTTCCCCTCACGTGTCTCATTGGTATTAGCACAGCAAGCCTTACACGGAGCCTCAGCGAGGTGAATGTTCCAGTTTGGCTCCAATTTCGTCAGGCTTGCCCTCGGTTATCACAGCATTCTCTCTAGTGTATTTCTTGTCCAAGAAAGACCCAGTTAACATCATTTTCTTCGTCAATTTGAAAATTGTTAATGAAGCCGGAACTCGGAACATCTGGATGCTTATGGGAAATCTTCTCTTACACGCTATATATATTGACGCCGATCAATCCTGGCCCGTTTCAATTGGCCGATTAATAAAATGATTGTGAACTTTATTTATATGGGTTATCGGCACTTTAAATTCAAAATTTGTATTTCGATATTAATTCAACTTTATCGTATTCTATTGCCTTGTACTTGTAATGTGGTGTTTATGTGGAAATTTCTGGATTCTTGCAGCCCCAAGAAGTTTGGAGTTGTGACACGAGCAGTCATTAATTTTAGTTCGGGTATAGAAAACCAGACACGCCTACAAGAGTCAGTGAAGAAGTCAGGTTACAAAACTCGTTATATTTGCTTGGTGATGAGAATTACTCGAAGGCCGTTATGACGTAGTTGCCTCGTTCAGACTTCCCAGTGAGCAAAGGAATGTTATGTATCAATCCGCACTGAGGGGAACTCGAAATTTTGAATTCCCGACTTGGGAGTGTGCAAGTCCTCTCCAAACTTCTCACTTTTTCTCGACATGCTGAAGTGTACAGACGCGATGTCTGCACACTCCGAATCCTGGTGCACAAATATTAAATCAGTGAACTAGATTAATTTAAATAATAAATTTTAATTATAAGCAGTTTTTTCCCCCTTGGCACTACAGCCCCAGTGGGCCTAGGCCTACCTCCATGAACTTCTTCGTTCACTTCGGTTTTTCTAGATCTTACACATTCGGTAGGACTCCTTGGGTGGGTGATCAGCTCGTCGCAAGGCCTCTACCTGTATACAAACGCAGAAAAACGCGCACACACACAAACTAAACATCCATGCCCTGAGTGGGATTCGAACCCACGATCCCGGTTTCCAAGAAAGTGAAGACAGTACATGCCTTAGACCGCTCGGCTACCGTGACCGGCTATAAACAATTTACTTACACTTAATTAAACATTAGTGTACGTTATGGTAATACAAATGCAGCATATTATAAGCGAATTAACATCAAGGTGAATCATGTTGATAGTTGGTGAATTCTGGCATAGTTACCCATGAGTCTTTGCAAACCGAGCCAGCTAGTTTCCCGTACCTATATACTTACCTGCCTCCTTTAGTTAATTTTGTAAACACACCTTGTAGCGGCGCCCATCCTAAATACTTAACACCTTATCAATACGTCCCACATAATCAGAATTCCTGTTCGAAGATAGAATGAAATGTAGTAGAGACTGCACCATTCTGACCAAGCCATACTCATATATAAGTATATGTATACAGGCTGGAATCGTACATAAAATCCAGCTGTGTAAGTAAATACGCATTTCACCACTTCATAACATTAATTGTTGTTGTATTTGTTGCAGTTGTTTGTATTTCTCTGTAATTGTTGTAGTTGTTAATCGTATTTGGTTGTATTCATTGTGGTAGGATGTCCTTATTGTTGTGTTTTGTGTATTGTGTTTTGTTTGAACGTGTTGTCACTTAGTGTAATGTGTGTTACTTGTCTGTTGTTTTCCTATTGTGTACTACTGCCACCGGGCTAAAAGCCAATTGCAGTATAATAAATAATTAAATAAATAAATAAATATATATATATATATATATATCAGTGCTGTGCATGAGGACACAAAACAGACGTCTGAATGCATTGCGGGAGGAGAAACACAAGGATGACTGATGGATATTACAATTAAGCACACGTAGCTGCAGTGATGCAGTAAGATATATACAGTTAATGGAGACACTTGCGTATCTCTTCCCCCTATCTCTCGAATCGCATAAAGGGCGCTCAGCTACAGATAGCATAGTCTGCTAACATTCGGGGTGGTCCAGTTGTGGCAGTTCGTGGAAGGTACTGTAGAACTAGAATTGATGAACCTAGACGCAGCAGCAGAGGGATCAGAAGTGCTGGAGGATTATACCACAAAAGGGAGCAAGACGATAACCAGGAGGACAGACACCAGAATTGTTTATGAGAGGAAACCCATCTTCCAAAACCGAAACAAGAATATATGAATATACATGTATGTTAAATTTAGTTTTACGTCTGGTGCAAACCAGTTTCTTAGGGCTGACTTTCTTCTATAGAGCTGTTTCAGTGTTGCTGAAAGAAACCCCATGGCTATTTTTTTTTATTGCTAGTGTGGTGGGACTAAGTCCCTTGTACTACGGCCACTTCTGTCCTATTGTACCAGCCCCAGATGATAGGTGAGGGTGATTGTGGAGCAATTGGTGGAATGAAGATTGGCAGGGGAAACCGAAGTACCAGGAGAAAACCTGCCCCAGCGCCACTTTGTCCACCACAAATCCCACTTGAACAGACCCGGGATCGAACCCGGTCCGCCGCGGTGGGAAGCTAGCGACTAACCGCTTGAGCTATGGCGCGGCCTAACCCCATGACGCCCATGACTAAGACCATAAACAAATCGGGCCTTGGACCTTTCAGTTTTTGAAATTATATGCAAATAATCCTAGTTCAGTTTACTAACAAGCGGCGGATAGCGATGTTTAACAATGTTAGCCCCGGAGCCAGCCGTGGTTGTCTTCTTTTTGTAGAAAACAATTGGAATCTACTTGCGTTGCAGAAGCTTTGGGTGAGAGATTAGCTGATTCAGCGTCCTTGAAGGGCCTGCCAGTAGCTGCATCTGCGAGAAATGATGACACGGGCTCTTTGTAGAGTGGACTGCACACCAGGTTCCTCCATGGTCTGACAGTCGGGTGAGATGTTGACGAAACCGTAGTACGTTACCCATTAACGTTGTGTTGTGAAAGGGGGCCGTCAAAAAGACAACTTAAGTCCTCGGGCTGATGCTTCAAAGCGGTGTTGTCTTCTTTAAGATGAGCGATCTTACTATATAACATAGGGACTTAACCATCAGATTCGTAGACTGTCCGTTCAAGCTAAGGGTTTCAATTTGAACATTGAGAATATCCTTATTACACAGTTATGGCAAATTGATCTTCTAAGGCGAAAGAACTTTCTTCCTTACCGCAGTGGTAGAAGATGATCTCTGACGAGTACAGGAGTCTCACAATTCCTACTGGTTTTTCAGCCTTCACAATTTTTCGACGATTATCCACTAGCAGTATAAACAGCGTGCTCTGCTTCACTGGTCTGCAAACACGCACAATTAAATCTAACATCACAAACATTACGTGTAATGCATTTTTGTTTCCGATGAAAGGGCTTTTCACAAAGTTTATAAAGGTCTTCATTTTCTTCAATGAATGGTCAAACAAAAACAAACAAACTCCGTGATCTGTAGTTCGCAAGCGAACTATACCGACCGAGAGACCGCCGCTTGTCAACGAAGTTAGTGCCTAATTTTGCGGACAGAGGGTGTCACGTGGTCAGCGCAACGGATCCCCACGGCCGTTAATTTTGGTGTTCTAGACCGGAGCCGTTATTTCCTTGAAATAGCTCCTCAATTATCCTCACGAGGCTGAGTGGACCCCGATCCAGACCCACTACTTCTCAGAATATCTGGTAGTGCCGGGAATCGAACCCGAGACCTCAGGATCTCTAACCAGGAACTCGGACCACTAGACCACATAGGCGGTCAATAAAAAAATACACACACGCTCACTAGAATTGCACTGGTCACCAGACAAAAGTAAAAGCAACGCATTTCCTCTCATCACGAGTGCTAGAGCTCGAACAAGAACAACACCAGTATACGTTAATGTTTTAAAATCCAATTTAATGACTTTTATGTCAGTTTTGTTTACAGGTCTGTAGGAGGAAAGAGGAAGTCCAAGAGGTAAACTACAGTATGATATGATAGTTTGTTATTCGTCAAACATTCTCCAGATTAATACAAAAGCAGAAGGTTTCCTTGAAACAAACATGAATAGCTGTATCTCTAAGCAAAGAAAACAGTATTTTAGGGTTGACTGTTTTAAATTAGTTACTATTTGCCTTCCAAATATTTACCAAATAAGAGGTACCTTCTATCGTACTTATAGTGCATTCTGTAGGTCATGAGATCAGCAGCAGCAGTAATTATTGTTATTATTATTATTATTNATACCCTGTTTGGTAAGAGCAGTTTTTCCTCTTGTATTTGTGGTACACTTTTTTTTTCTTTTCTTTTTTCCCTTGGCACTACAGCCCCAGTGGGCCTAGGCCTACCTCCATGAACTTCTCCGTTCACTTCGGTTTTTCAAGATCTTACATATTCGGTAGGACTCCTTGGGTGGGTGATCAGCTCGTCGCAAGACTGGGATTCGAACCCACGATCCCGGTTTCCAAGCGAGCGAAGACAGTACATGCCGGTACACTATTTAGCATCTATATATTTTATTCATGTCATTCATTCCACCATGTACCACAAAGAGAATTCTGAGGAGTTCATTAACGCTGTTTGTTGTCGACTGTTTCTTCACACAGGATTAATTGTAGCACTTTAAGAAGGATTCCACGCATGTTATGGAAGGAGGAAAGAAACTTATAGGGGTTTTATATCTCATGTGACTGACCATATTTATTGTTATTTTCGTTAGACAGTAATGACTGGGCAGAAGAACAAGCAAGTTCAATGTAATTTAGAGCTTTGTCCCAGTTTGTAGATAATGATATTAACGATTGATGTATTTATCGTCCGTCAGTATTGCAACACTTGTTTATTCACTATTTAATTTTAATTTTAGTTCAACATTATACACTTTGACAAGTGTTGCAATATTGACGGACGATAAATACATGGACGTTAAGTTAAACAATTGCAACAGGATGCTGAAATACAGAGTTGACGTAGAATTTATAAGAAGATATTAAGAAATCGTTTGTCATCTGGAGTTGTTGACAAAAATAAATGGAATATTTACTGTACTGGCATTAAGAAAAAGAACTGCGCGGCAGTATTTTTAGCCTTGCAAAAAATTTTGTACCTTTTCCAAGCAATGCTTTTGAAGTGAGTTAAACATATTAAAAAGTATTATTTATAAAATAAAATAATAAGATAATTTCCAATGAAAGTAATACAGTATACTCGTATGAATATAATTTTATAACTCTGTACATATATAGTTAATTTCTATCGGTAACACATACTCAGGCCGGTCACGGTAGCCGAGCGGTCTAAGGTATGCACTGTCTTCGCTCGCTCGGAAGCCGAGATCGTGGGTTCGAATCCCACTCAGGGCATGGATGTTTGCGTGCATTTTTCTGTGTTTGCCTACAGGTAGAGGCCTTGCGACGAGCTGATCACTCACCCAAGGAGTCCTACCGTATGTGTAAGATCTAGAAAAACCGAAGTGAACGGAGTTCATGGAGGTAGGCCTAGGCCCACTGGGGATGTAGTGCCAAGAAAAAAAAAACACACACACACATACTCAGTCATTGGGCAAAAAAAATGTATTAACACAGTTCGTATGGATTTCCCAGCGGCATATAGATATCGGAAGCATGTTGAAAACAGAATATAGTAAGCAGAATTTAAGGTTCTCACAGCCGTAGTTATGAGCGTACTGTCTTCTGGGATATAATGCTATGTAGTCCTTTGAAAATCAGCCGACATTTCGGAGGAACATATCGCCTCAATCTTCAGGGTCGAAGAATAAGCCGAGCAAGAAACAAACGTGAAAGCAATTAACAAGCAGGGCTCTGCTTGCCCCCGCCCAACGCCAAAGCTGAATGATCACCCCACTTCAGCTGTGCGTAAAGTCTTTCTTTCTTTCTTTCTTTCTTTCTTACTTACTCAATTCTTTCTAATAAGTACCAGAACCCCTTTCCTCGGGTTGAAGCGGCCGATGCGTGAATCTAACCATTCGCCTCAATATAACGCCGAAGTTAGGAATAGGCGGAGATATATCTCCACTCTTCCATGCATCTTCATAGTGCGGTGCTTAATTACGCACAGGGCCAACTTCATATTGGCATTTGCAGCTGCCTTCTACCTCCCCCCCCACATCTGGATGTGGACTCATATGACCACGGCAATGAAACTTCGTGTTCCATAAGAATTTGTTGAAAAGTGGAACGAGTATTAATTTTTCAAGAGGTGACGGGACAACTGTTCTAGAGGTGACCCTGTGGACTTGTATTCGGAAGGTGCTCCATTCGAATCTCGGCTAGGACACCGGATATATTCTGAAAGATTTTTCTTCAGTTATGCCACGACAACTTCCTTCCAAACCCTTTCCAATCTATCATCATTCAACAATCATCCGACGCTATTAGGCTCGATACTGAAAACATCGTTAAATGAGTCACGAAAAGAAGAAATTATCTTGAACGACCCTGCCGCATAGAGTGCGCATTAGTCGCTGTCGTTGTCAATGATGTGCATAGATGGCAGCATATTACCCCCAAAATCTTCAGCAATCTGGTGGTCGTTTCGAGTACCGCATAGCCAAAGGACGAACATGACTACCAATATACTCACACATAGTTGCTGTTACATATGTCAAATTTCTGAGAGTACGTGTTTTTGATTTGAGTAATGCCATAAAAATTATCTAAAAAGTAAAGCATTAACACATGATCACAATTCGCTGTAATAGGTAATAATTTCTTTAACGTATCTAATATTCTGCCAACTTTGTGTGTAACGTTGGGAGCATGTCTATCGCTTCTTGTTTGTAGTCGTTTGTAGTCATCTGATAGTGGAAGTGTTATGTAGTTGAGAGTGTGCTGGTTGTTTATTTACTACAAATTAATGGAGCACGTGATTTGTTAGTGTAACAGAAGTACAAAGTTTTTCTACATATCAACAAATAATATAATCGAAAATAGTTCAAGAGCAAGGAAGTGTGTGGACCGCGTTGACGTAAAGTAAACATCTCTTGGAGTTTTATGCCATGGCAGACACAGAAGATTTCTTGGCGCTTTATAGGCGGTTTTTTGAAGAATTTGCGACGACAGTGAATCCCAATGATCAGCTTCCAGTCAAAGTGGCCGGATATTATTTGTATGATTCGGAGATAGTTGGAGAAATAGTGGATTGGACCTTGCAGTACCTCAACCAAAAGTAAGTAAATTGCAACCACAATTCGTTAGGTAGGTATCAAAAAGAACCATGGCTCGTTCGTTGGTACCTTGAATTAAATGGGTAAGGCCTCCATAAGACTTTCTGAGTTCCTAAGTAATGAAGACGAGATCGTTATGATTGTTTTAAAACTGATTGTCGAAAAAATTATTAATAAACATCAGGGATTTGTATAATTATACTGACGTTTTCATGACAGAAGGTAATTTAACAAAATGTTTTTCCAGAAATGCCATCTTTTGATAAAAAGGCCTTAATTAAATTACTAAGGAATGTTAATTTACATGTGGATACTTATGAACAAGATTGAGCTGTATATTCATGTACAAGTAAAAACGATCATTTGCTTGAGAACACGTACACAATTGCACCAGGACTGAAAACTGTGAGAGGTGCCACATTGCAATTTGTTTTTGAGTCTAATGGGTATTCCTGTATGTATTGTTCCCACCATTCTAATCTGATGAGACGCAGTCGGCCAATTTCTACAAGAGTATGTTGTGTTTTTTCGTGAATGATTTTTTTTCTCAATATTTTGAGGTCTATCAGGTTGTGAGGCCCAAAGCTGTAAATTTTTACCCTACACATAAATCTAGTGCTGGTAATAATGAAGTTTTCTTTTCTTAATACTACACTTTCAGGAACTCAGTCACCCATAAGAAAAAAAAAACCCGTGGTTTTAGTCCGCAAACGAACTATACCGACCGAGCCACCGCCGCTTGTCGGCGAAGTTAGTGTCAACTTTAGCGGATAGAGGATGTCGCGTGGTCAGCGCAACGATTGTCTTTTTGGAGGCCGGATGGGCATTGCCTAGGCCTTTTTTGTATTTACAAAATTTTTTCTACAATAAAAAATTGTCTTTTTGGATCAGTATCAAAAAGAAGTTAAAGTTGTGTCTGTGCTTAATTAAGTAAGCACTGTGCCATGAAGATATGGGGGAGTGGAGGTATAACTCCACCACTCTTGACCTCAGTACTAGATGGAAGTGAGTCATCAGCTTTACACCTTAGCCACTTTACAGTCAGGGAAAAGTGCCCCTGGTACCTGTTGGATAGGAGGCTGGGTGGGCCCCCGAGCTGGTCTACACGCTGTGGAGTAGAGAAAATCTCTTGCCCCTTGCAGGAATCTAAACCCAGCCATTAAGCCCAAAACCTGTCACTGTATCGACTGAACTATCCTGGAACCTTTTTTGGAGCACTGTGAATAGTGTAAATATTCTGTGTGAAGATCGTAGTGTTCCCGTCCCTTAGTCGTTATGTTGGGGTAAATGTATCCCTGTAACAGGTCATGGAGGTCCATAGGGTTGTGGGACATCGAGGCTCCCACATTTTCTAGACAAACGGCTCACAATAATTGATGGAGGTGAATGGAGAATGCAGCATTGAAGAAGATGTACTTGGTTATAACACGAGGCAGTGCAGCAACGGAAAATCTTAATGCAAAGGAGACTGCAGTAGTACACAACCGAGTTCTGAACTTTCATGTCTTCCTTGCGCAATTGGTAGTTGTCTGTGTGGTCAAATGTGGTCACCAAATTCAAAAGTTTGTTAGAATGAATGACCAGCTTGGTGTAGCGGTAGCTTGGATTTAAGAGGTTCTCTCCTCAAATCTCTGGTCGAGACATCGGGTATTCTAACCAAGGTTTTTCATGGTGTTCTTAGTTCTAGCAGGAAAATTCTGTGATTGTGCCATTTTTAGGCCAAGATACCTTTATTTCATTTCTATTACAATCATTATTTACCAGTCATGTTAACATTCAACAGTATATAACGTGATATGCTTATAAAGTCGCAAAGTAAAGTGATTCGCGCAGAGACATTACGTATGCGTTCTAATATGCGAATGACCTTGACCTAATTTACTTGGAAACGAAATCTATTGTTGCTCGGTAGACAGTTGTTGGTTACAGAATGCCGAACAACATTGAAGTCCGTTCTACTGATAAAAACTGTCTCTGCTGAATAGAAACTTCACGTTTGCGTTCCTAATTCGCGTACCGTTATTTGCCTGGCGAAGTTCCCTTTGCGTTTCTATTTAGGTAAGTGGGTTCCTTAAAATACTGAAATGTAATCTATACCATGGAACCGTTTTCAAAGAAATAATTTTGTTTTTTGGGGTCCATTTGAAGGACGCCTACTTTTGAAGGTAGAACGATCGTATTCACCTGTGGGAATAAAATTGTAGTATAATGCCGAATGTGAATAAAATTGGACCAACCGTTCATTCACTAGCGAGAAGCATTCATCATACGTACAGACATACAGACAAATGGCTTCCAAAAAACGGTTTTTCATATTCAGTTGTGCTGAAATCTTATAAGAACGCCAGGATCTCAAAATTGATTTTCGAACCACTGTAACCCTTTTCCATGTATATTTCGTGTTTGCAAAATTAGAAAAATAATCGTCACAATATACGTAATAACCTGCCATTTTACCTTATGCATAGTCATGTTATAGATCCACAATCAGTTTCTCGAATATCCATTAGACTCCTGTTCTAGGACCTATTTTTTTTGAGGGGGTGCAGTAACTGTTAAATTGCCCCACCCCCCATTCAGGCGGTATGACCAAGACAGATGGTGTAATACTGATCTTTAGAGTTGTATTCCGAAGTATCGGTTTTGAGTCCCGGCATTGGTGCTGACTGTCCTGGCTGAAGTTTTCCGCAACTTCTCCAAATTGTCAGGAAAGTGCAGTTACATAGGTCAGGACCTTGTCCTCCCTAATCTTTGCCAACACACCATTTATGATCATCATCACTAGGGACAGGATTTTAATGCAAATGCATATTTCTTTCTTGCAACCAGAAAGTATTCTTGTTTGGATATATGTATGAATTGCTTTATTTCTTAAATTTTGGACATGGTTTGATGGTGCATATAAATGCATATTTTGCCTGTTTTATGAATAAGCATCATATTTTCAAAGGTCTCTATTTATGCTGCATATTTCCATTTTAAAACGTTTATCATATATATTTTTTACTTTTATGTTCAAATTTTCAATCATGGTCGTGTGTATACAATTTTTCTTTTACATATTAGAATATGTTGCATATTTGACTCAACATTTCGTCATGATTCATGTTTCTGATGCAATACCCAGGACGGGACTTCCCCGATCCCTCGTAACTTGCCTCATCCGCGTACCATCAAAGTGGCCGCGAAGAGATTAGTCGGAAGCGTTCACATGTAATAGTATTCAACTGATAAGGGACTTCACTTATTTATTTCTGAACTCTCCATGAAGTTTGTTATGCTTCTTCATTTGAAGCCGGGGCCATTCACATTAGTGGTGACTAGTCTGTAGTTAAGTTTGTTTAGCTTTCTGTAGTCGTGCCGAAAGTGAAAGTAAGTCAGAAAACTAAATTACAGATGTATCAGCGGGAGTTCGAATGAGAGTTGATAAGTACGGACAACGAAATTCTTTATTGTCGAGAAAACAGTTGGTTGTGAAAAACGCTTTCAAGTGCTTCAGCATTTGAACACTAATATACACAAAGAGAATATTAAAATTAAATCCACGAAAAGTGCTCGTGTTCAAAAATTGCTTACTGAATTTTCTAATAATAGTTTTTCACAGTTTTCCTTTGATTTATGAGAAGCCTTTTTAGCGTCAGATATTCCGCTGTGGAAACTAACCAGTCCTACTCTGAGAAACTTCATAGAGAAGTATACACAGTGCAAAGTGCCGTATGAATCTACTGTGCTCAAATATTACGTGAAGCAGTGTTACGATCTTGGGGCATTTGGCTGTGTGCAGCGAGTTATTATACCGAACATTTAGAAACAGTTAGGAATGTCGTGAACACATTTGATCCCAAAAGTGCAGCACCAATTCAAATTGCCCAAGATGTACTAAAAAACGCAGAACTAGAAACTAATCTTTCCTGTATCTGCTCACTTCTCTCATCTTTCATCCGCCATTTCCTCACTGGAGGCAAGCAATAGCAGTACTACTTTGTATCAGTCGTTAAGTATGTTCAAAACCACTGTTACCCAATTGATTTCGGTTCCTGGAAGAGTTTGTGAAGTAGTAAAGGAAAAAGTACACAGCATTCTTTAAAAAAATCCAGGATATGAACAAATTTGTGAAATTGAAGAAATTTTAGCCGGTAAACGTACTGAACTGCCAAGTAAAAAATCACTAACAGTGGAGCAAATAGCGGATTTTGTACACGCGCCCCTAAGTTCCTGTGAGGTGGAAAGAAGTTTTTCCCGCTATAAGGACATTTTGCTAGACAATAGGAGGCGACTAACTATGGAAAACAAAACATTTAGTAATTGTGAACTGCAATAGGAGAGAAGTTGAAAGTTCGGAGAGCTAAATGTGAGTACCATTGGATTTCTAAATTTGTAATGAAATATTTTGGCTTTGTTGCATGATTTGTATTTAAGAATAGCTTTTTATTGCAAGTGAATAATTCAGTGATTAAATAAAGTTAACTTAAATATTGATTTGTTGGTCTTAAAATAATGTAAAATAAATTTTAATATTTGGTATAAATTTTTATGTGCATATTTTAGTGCATATTTCGGAAGTTTTTCGTCCCTAATCATCACTCATAAAAGAGCGTTATTAAGGACCCAAAGAATGAATCGGGCTGTCAGTATGGGAGTACTGCAATGGGAAGGGGTTGGCAGTGCCGGTAAAGTCTGCGGAGTAGCGAGTTGCAGTCTGTTGCTCTTAATTACCCTGGAGCCTGCATGAATTACGTCAGGCATGGATGAGGCAACGTCGTAGTGGAAACAAGCGACACAAACTACGCTCTGAAATGTTTAGTATATATACTCATATACTTTACACTATCAACTGCAGTGCTTGCAAAACTCAGGCATTCGGTTATATTAGATTTCACAAAATATCACACATAACAATTATAACGGACCTGCGGCAAATTATAGACTAATCTGTTTCACTTAAAAATACTTTTCGATCTCGTAAATGACGGGGCCTAATTTTGCTTTTCAGATATTGTGT